TCCACATTTAAGATGGAAATTTGTCCTTTGTCCCTTAGGCAGGAGAAATGGTCCTGGCATGTAGGCCTAGTTAGATGCCATTCTAACTCCCTTTCCTGGATTAAAAAAAGTGTTCTTTTAAGAACTTGAACAGAAATGGAGTAACACATTGCTTGCCTGAAATGGGAAAGGGAGTGGGGTCCACCATGCCCTCATAGCTCTGGCTAATGGCTGGAGATTCCTCAAGAAGCTTAAGAGGATCCAGGCGAACAAGAGGAAAACATTTGCTTTGAAAGGGTTCTGTTTAGGAAGTAATCCTATCTAGCCAGGACAGTGAACATTCTAATCTTTCTTTGTGCGCATGTCCTAGTTATATCTTACTGTCCCTTGTTTTTTTTCTCTCTGCACAGGTAAGAATATTCTGAATAATGTTTGGTCATGGCAAATATATTTTATTGTGCTTTTTATTAAGTTCTTGTGCTCTAAAATTTAATTTGGAAGCAGAGCTCCTGCCTAGCTCATTAATTATAGAGGGAATGCATCATGTTGTTGTTGTTGTTACTTGCAAAGTCGTCTCTGACCCATCGTGACCCCCTGGACAATGCTCATCCAGGCCTTCCTGTCCTCTACCATCCCCTGGAGCCCAGTTAAGCTCACACTGATGGCTTCAGTGACTCCATCCAGCCACCTCATTCTCTGTCGTCCCCTTCTTCTTTTGCCCTCAATCTTTCCCAGCATTAGGCTCTTCTCCAATGAGTCATATTGAATCATATTATGGTCTGCCAAAACTACTGCATTTACCTCTGCCTATCAAATTTCATATATCTTATATTTCAAGGTTGTTTTCTTTCAAAGTTTAATTTTATTTATCTCCATTTATTTAACTCCTTTCATATAGACTTTCATTTGTCCAAAGGACAAGACAAGGTACGAGAGCCCTATCTCTGTTAGTTGAAGGACACCTCTGAAAGGTAGTTGGTGGCAGCAGTAATCACCAACAATGAAACCAAGGCGGGAAGCAAGTCAGGATGTGTAGATAAAGACAAACTCCATGAGAGGAGGATTGTAGCCTCTAGCCTGTTATTCTGTAGGCTCATCCTTTCACTGCAAAGTGAACTTTAGGATATCCCACTGTAACTCTGGTCCTTCATATGGTCAAAACAAAGTGAAGCTGCATCTGGGTAAGGAAACATCCTTGTCTAAACAGATCAGTAGAGTTCTTCCCATTTGGCTCGTGGTAATGTTTCAATTAATAGTTTTGACACTGCACCAGGGGTGTCAAACTTGCATTGTCATGCCACCATCACATGACATATTGCGACTCCCCCCCCTTCACTAAACGTGGCATGGGCATGACCAGCGTGTGATGCATCTGGCCCGTGAGCTGCGAGTGTGACAGCCCTGCTCTACACTAATGTGGAAGACATTGCCTGGCTGATTGGGTAAGCAGAATAAGGAAGAAGTTTGTTTCTTGTAAGCACATGACTCTCTTGAAATATCTCAGAAGATTGGCAACTTTTCCTTGATGGTAACTATCATAAGGAAGACCTGGATCTAGTGCCAGAATTAGATTTTTTTTAAATCAGTGCTGTTGCATAAATTACTCAGTTTTAATCATATTCTTTGTATTTGTATAATGACTTTGGCTTTCAACCATAAACAAAGATGCTGTCTTTGGAAAAAATATGGTAAGTGAACAAGATTATGAATAATTCAATTCATCTCTTTAATATTGAAATAGTCATGAAGATAGTCCATATTTTCCTTTCATAGTCCTTCCTGCCTGCATGGACTATGCTAACTTTATATGGCTAATCTAGATAAATAAAGCTTAAATGAACTGATCCTTTCAAACTAGATTTCTCATTTAAATCAGGTGCTGTTTCAAAGCAACAAAATCAGGTGGCTCAGAAGTGTTTTGGGGATTCAATGCTATTCTGTTGCTTCTTGCTAGATTTTGATAGATAAGTGTTCTGATCTCCTCCTCCATCCAGTAACGAATGCCGAGACAAGCTTAACTGGAATGTACTTTAATAGCAAGACACCAAAACCTCGGTGGCT